CAGGGAGAAAAAAAAGGTACTGCAGACCCAGTGGTCTGGTGGCTAAAGCTCCCGCTTCACACACGGAAGGCCCGGGTTCGATTCCCGGCGGGTGGAAACATTTCGACACGTTTCCTTACACTATTGTCCTGTTCACCTAGCAGCAAATAGGTACCTGGGTGTTAGTGGACTAGTGTGGGTCGCATCCTGGGGGACAAGATTAAGGACCCCAATGGAAATAAGTTAGACAGTCCTCGATGACGCACTGACTTTCTTGGGTTATCCTGGGTGGCTAACCCTCCGGGGTTAAAAATCCGAACGAAATCTTATCTTATTTATCTTAACAAAGCTAAAAATACAAAGGTTATGTTACATGGCCTCTCCAGCTTAAAAAAAAAAAGTACCACCAACATTTTCTCCATTTTTGTTGACCTATGTCGCTTTGAATGTAATTTGTGTGCAGGAAGAGAATCAAATGTTATAACTACTTTAAATAAAGTAATGTTATAACATTTAAAATAACCGGGTCTTCAATCTTGTCCCCCAGGATGCGACCCACACCAGTCGACTAACACCCAGGTACCTATTTGCTGCTAGGTGAACATGACAACAGGTGTAAAGAAACGCGTCTAAATGTTTCCACTCGCCGGGAATCGAACCCGAGCCCTCCGTGTGTGAAGCACGAGCTTTAACCACCAGGTCACCGAGCCACTGATATGTATAGTATGCAAAGTCATGGAGAAGATTATCAAGAGAAGAGTGGTGGAACACCTACAAAGAAATGAGCTTAACAACAACCAACACGGTTTCAGGGACGGGAAATCCTGTGTCACAAACCTATTGGAGTTCTATGACAGGGTGACACCATTTCTTGGACTGTAAGAAGGCGTTTGACACAGTTCCACACAAGAGATTAGTGCAAAAACTGGAGGATCAGGCAGTAATGACAGGGAAGGCACTACAATGGATCAGAGAATACCTGTCAGGAAAACAGCAGCGAGTCATGGTACGAGGCGAGGTGTCAGGGTGGGCGCCTGTGACGAGTGGGGTTCCACAGGGGTCAGTCCTAGGACCGGTGCTGTTTCTGGTATTCGTGAACATGACGGAAGGAATAGACTCCGAAGTGTCCTTGTTTGCAGATGATGTGAAGTTGATGAGAAGAATTTAATCGGACGAGGACCAGGAAGAACTACAAAGGGATCTGGACAGGCTGCAGGCCTGGTCCAGATTCCTGGAGTTAAACCCCACCCTTCAGCCTGGTCCAGCAGTTGGCTCCTGGAGTTCAACCCCACCAAGTGCAAAGTAATGAGGATTGGGGAAGGGCAAAGAAGACCGCAGACGGAGTACAGTCTAGGGGGTCAGAGACTACAAACCTCACTCAAGGAAAAAGATCTTGGGGTGAGTATAACACCAGGCACATCTCCTGAAGCGCACATCAACCAAATAACTGCTGCAGTACATGGGCGCCTGGCAAACCTAAGAACAGCATTCCGACATCTTAATAAGGAATCGTTCAAGACCCTATACACTGTGTATGTTAGGCCCATATTGGAGTATGCGGCACCAGTTTAGAACCCTCATCTAGCCAAGCACGTAAAGAAACTAGAGAAAGTGCAAAAGTTTGCAACAAGACTAGTCCCAGAGCTAAGGGGTATGTCCTACGAGGAGAGGTTAAGGGAAATCGACCTGACGACACTGGAGGACAGGAGAAATAGGGGTGGACATGATAACGACATATAAAATACTGAGAGGAATTGACAAGGTGGACAGAGACAGAATGTTCCAGAGATGGGACACAGCAACAAGGGAACACAGTTGGAAGTTGAAGACACAGATGAATCACAGGGATGTCAGGAAGTATTTCTTCAGCCACAGAGTAGTCAGGAAGTGGAATTGTTTGGGAAGCGATGTAGTGGAGGCAGGATCCATACACAGCTTTAAGTAGATGTATGATAACGCTCATGGTTCAGGGAGAGTGACCCAGTAGCGACCAGTGAAGAGGCGGGGCCAGGAGCTATGAATCGACCCCTGCAACCACAACTAGGTGAGTACACACACACACACACACACACACACACACACACACACACACACACACACACACACACACACACACACACACACACACACACACATACACACATACACACACACACAGGAGGGTCAGGGGAGACATGATAACGACATATAAAATACTGCGCGGAATAAACGAGGTGGACAAAGACGGGATGTTCCAGAGATGGGACACAGACACAAGAGGTCACAATTGGAAGTTGAAGACTCAGATGAATCAAAGGGATGTTAGGAAGTATTTCTTCAGTCATAGAGTAGTCAGGCCATGGAATAGCCTAGAAAGTGATGTAGTGGAGGCAGGAACCATACATAGTTTTAAGGCGAGGTATGATAGAGCTCATGGGGCAGGGAGAGAGAGGACCTAGTAGCAATCAGCGAAGAGGCGGTGCCAGGAGCTGTGACTCGACCACTGCAACCACAAATAGGTGAGTACACAAGGGGCTACCTTATCTAGGTGACCTTGCTCATACCAACACTCAGACATGGTACTCCAACGTTACCTTCACCCCTCCAAAACCTCCCTACCTCCTCCACCCCCAAACACCTCATCCATCTCCCTCGCTCTCCCTGACACAAACTATTCCCTCACCACCTCTCCTCTCTCCTTTTCCACTTATTGTCCTCCCTTAAGCACATAAGCACATATTACAGGTGAATATAGTTAGATAATCTGTCTCACGCTTAATGAAGTGAAGGTTAGGTAAAGTTTGTCATCTGACCGAGGCCTTCCGCTGGCTTACCGGTCCACCCCTTTAAAAATTATGGTCAGTTATAACCATTTAGTTACTCTAATGAAGTAAAGATCGAGACTAAACAACTCCATACAGTGAATAACCCACACGGGTTTGCTACTTTACATTAAAAATAATAATAATGAGTAACAAATTGGATATAAAACTGGAGGGAGGGAGTATGGAGGAAGTGAATGTATTTAATATTTGGGATTGAATGTGTCATCATATGGATCTAAGAAACAAAAAGAGGATCATAAAATAGCCGAAGAAAAAAAGGTGAGTATTGTTACGTGATATTTTGAGGTGTTTGTGGAAAGAAAGTTTATCTATAGAGGCAAGAAATGAGAATGTGCCAGAATATAATAGTACCAACACTTTTATATTATTATTATTATTATTATTATTATTATTATTATTATTATAACTAAATGCTAAACCCACAAGGTCATACAAGGCTGCTAAACTCACAAACTAGTATTTAGTCACTTAGCCATACCAACTTATCTCACAGTTTGTAATATTTTAAAATTAAGAATTAAACTAAGTCTGCCCGAAATGCCTAGCCATGCTAGGTGTTCTAGTGGTACACTCTGTAATTACTATTTTACTACATGTAAACCACACAATAACCAAATTCTGTAAACTCAGCATTGTAATCCTTATAGAGAATATAGGTGTGAGAGACAGGCTTTTAAATGTTGGAGATTATTATTATTATTATAATCAAGGGAAGCGCTAAACCCGGAGGATTATACAGCGCCTGGGGGGATGTGGAAGGCATTCAGGCTTAATTCGGGGAACTGGAGCACAGATCCAATTCCCTAAATCAAGAGCCCCTCACCAACATCAAGGAACCTTCCTCGAGGGGTAAATCTTGGAGAGAGGAGGAGGCTGGAGGTGGTTAATATGTCACGTTTAAGAACAATGTGTAGTGTGAATATTATGTAGATAATTCAGAGTACAGAGAATGCATGATGGTGCGGGTTTTACAAAAGAATAATTCAGAGGATCGAGGAATTGTTGAGGTAGTTTGGTCATTTAGACAGGATGGAGCAGTGTAGATGAGTGGTTCAGGGAACTGACTGATGAGGGCACTATGTGGCGAAACATTTCCTCATTAAAGATACCCAAGTGTTGTACATGTATCTAATTTATCAGGATGGAGGAACTACGATGACCAAGAGGCAGGAAGGTGGGTTAGAGGCCATTTCATGATTGGTTAGAGGAAGGGTATAAAGCAGGTTTTAACTTGAATATCAAGCAGGCTTGTGTTAGATCAGAGTGGATAAGATAATATTTGAAGATTAGCCACCCAGGATAACCCAAGAAAGTCAGTGCGTCATCGAGGACTGTCTTATTTCCATTGTGGTCCTGTAATCTTGTCCGCCCAGGATGCGACCTACACCAGTCCACTAACACCCAGGTACCTACTTACTGCTAAGTGAACAGGAACAGTAGATGTAAGGAAACATGCCCAACCTGTCCACCCGTGCCTGGTGTTGAACCACGGACACGAAGTGTATGCGGGTGCGTTGCCAACTGAGCCACGGGACACCGTTAGTAAATATTTCTTTTGCCTCCGAGTTGTCAGGAAGTGGAATGACCCAAACAGCTAAGCGGTAGAGGCAGGTTGCATACATAGTTTTAAGAAAAGGTATGCTAGGGCTTGCGTCGCCAGGAGAGGGAAACCCAGTAGCGGTGAACAAGGTGGGGCCAGGAGCTGAAACACGACCTCTGCAACCATTAGGTGAGTACAGACAGGCGAGTACTAACCTTTTCACTACCAGTCAAGAATACTTTAATCTCTAAAATAGGGAAAAAAGTAACTCTCAGTATACATGCACACAGACATATACTTTTAGCTGTATATATAGATTAATAGTAATTAAAAAAATATTTCAGATTACAAAGACAGACGATGGAGAGAAGATAGTGCTATTTATGTATGAAATATCTTAATAAGTCACAATATTTAACTTCTTTGGGCTCTCTCATGTTAAACTGTACATAAGTTCACAAATACGAGCATTATAAAAGTTGCAAGTTATGCACTTACCCTGAATAATACTTCCCGACCCACTCAAGTGAATATTATTTTCGAATATGCCTGGTAGTGCATGGAGTTACAATAAGGTAATAAAGTGTGTGAGTGGATGAGGTTGAATTCTGAGTGAGTAGTGTTGAGTGTAGTGTTGTGGTGTTAGATGAAGGAGTGAAGACTATAGTGTGATGCTCACTGCTGCTCCCTCACTCACCACTCCACCGTCTGCTGTGGCGGTGTTCGTAAACATGGCGTCCAATAAGTCGCTTACGGACGACGACCTTAGAAAGAAGCTGAAGGAATATGGCATCACGTCCCCTGTCACGGCGAGCACGAGGAATATCTTAATTAAGAAGCTAAACCATGTTATTGCGAACCAAAAGAGAGTGTCGGCGGCCAATACCAGAGCCAAGAGGGCGTCCAGTGCCAGCCAGCTTAATGCATTCAGCTCAGACGAAGATGAAGATAACGACACTTGTGTCCATTCACCAGCAAACAGGTCGTTCAAGTTCATGAGAAACAGAAGGGGGTCAAGGGGAAATACAGACACAACTGTAAATGGCAGAAGTGAGAGCATGTGTAGCTCCCAGTTGAGCAGAACGAGTGGGCGGCCCTTGAGTGCTAGTAGTGAGGTGAAGGAGGACCTTTACAGAGGGACAAGTGGGGGTAATATGTCAGTGTTGAGTCGTAACAACACACATAGTGAGGCTGCCCACACTCGCACTGCTTACTTCCCAGTGTCTGCTCGCTCTGGTATCAGCCCCAGGGCTAAGATCCACGATGATTATGACACAGGTTCAGACTCTGACCTTGCTGATGGTGAGGACTCCCTCTTGACCTCCACCAGGAAGGGCCTCGCCTCCTATGTGTGGAACAATAACAGCGAGAACGAGGCGCTGCCCAACAACAATTCCTACAAATCCCCCACGTATCAGAATCACAATTCGAGCATCTCCTCTTGTGACCGGTCGTTTAGTGCATCAGACGTTGCTTGCAGGAGTAGAAAAGTTAATTCTTTCCTAGAAAATGGTGATTATGATGATAGAGATTGTTTGGAGGATGATGCTAGCTTTTTAGGTGTTGCGGAATCAATTGTGACTCACGCATCTCTTGGCAATCACGAACAGGTCCGAGTTGCTAATGGCAGACATCACAGTGAATCAAGCCAGCATCTTGACCACTCGCACAGTGATGAGAGCACGTGGCATTATTCGGTTCCACTCTTGTTGTTAATCCTTCTTGCAGTTTTCTTCGGTGTGGTCGGTATGCTCTATGTGAATATGCGTATGCCCCTCCTACCAACACTGCGTTCTGTGCCTGCCATGGTCCACCAAGCCGTGGCTAATGTACCTGTGCCTTTTCTCACTTCCACTGAGCCTGAGAGACAAGCAAAGAGTGTTGTCATGTCGCCATCACACAAACCTTCACATAACATCCCAAAAGCACCACTGCCCCCTGAGCCTGCGCCGTCACACAAGCCAGGTAAGGGCGCCTGTCACACCGTTGGTTTTTAATACTAGTAATAAACCACACTAATCATAGGGAATTAATATTGATTGTTCTGCTCTACAGAGCTCAACATTAAATTACAGGGCTTTACATAACAGGAGTCCTCTCTTGCATTCCTTCCTTCACACTTCCCTCGTCATTATTATTCTGCATTAGGCTAGGTTAGGTTAAGCGATGAAAAGTCAAAGTGGTCTTGGTGCACGTTGGTCAGTGTTTTTGGTGAGGCTGTGACCACCACCACCGAGCTGTTGTTCAGTGTGTCATTATTGTGTTAAGGCTAATGTGCTGATAAATATTTATTTCCATAGCAATTGTTTCCTGTTATGGATCTGGATAGGTTGTGGTAAGCATATAATATTGACTGGGTTCTCTCCCAGGAATATTGTCCATATTGACAAAGGTTTTTTGTTGTACAGAATATATATTGTAGCTGCATGAAACAATACATTTTCTTGAGAGTTGAAAGTTGAACTGATAAAAAGCTACATAAATCAAGGGTTTTCTTGAGGATTGTGGTGTAGAGCTGAGGTCTAACCTTGTGCTTAATAAGGCCAGAATTTCATTGCATAATTTAAATAAAATCTTACCAATAAAAGATTTGTAGGTTTTACTAACAATAAATAGATTTGTAAGTCTTACCAACAAAAGACAAATCTGTAGATCCTACCAACAAGAAATAATTAAGACATAATTAACAATATATACTACATAATGTTCAACAATCAACCTGGATGGAAAAAAAAAAAGATTTGGCAGTTCTGGTTAGCAGAAATCTAAAGCCAAGACAGCAGTGTACAAATGTTTACAATGAAGTTAATACAGTATACTGTATTGCTTAACTTATCACATAGCTATAGTTTAGTAAAGCAAGAAATGTTATTGGGGTTGTCAAGGGCCAGGACAGTATACAACATAATGAACCTATCTTCCTGGGGTCTGGGAAGGACCCCAGGAAAATAGGTTCATTACAATATACTGTGTACAGTATATTAGAGGAATGGAGCTGATGTATAGTGGGCAGACAGTAGGCTAAATATAATGAGGACAAGCAACCCCCCAAAAAAAGTTACCACTGCTGCTCACGGGAGAGAGTGAGGGAGTCCAAATCGTTGAAGCTGGCATCCTCATCTTTGAAACAGGCATATAGTCCTAGTTTGTGTTCTGCAGCAATTAATTTTGTGTGCCCAGGATTAGGTCTTTAAATGTACTGTATCAGGAGAGAGCTAGATAGGCACCTAAAGTCAGTTCTCAACCAACTGGGCTGTGGTTTGTATGTCAGTTTGTGCAAAGCCAGCAGTAGCAGCCTGATCCACCATGAGGCCGGGTCGTGGACTGGGCCATGGGGGCGTTGACTACTGGAACACCTTCCAGCTATATTTTGATCTGTATTTGCCACTTCACAACCTTGACCTATTTTTGTGTCATTAGTAAGTTTATTTAGATGCAGGTACACATAAGTACAATTATCATACATAGTTAACATGTGTAATATACCTAGCATAACCCCAAAAAGTCAAAGTGGCTTATTTCCATTGGGGTCCTTGCAATATCTTATTACTTAAACCTTAAAAGTTAAAATTAGTTACAATAAAGGAGATATACTAGGAATAATGTAAACTGAGTTATTTACATTAACAATTTACATTATCATTAAAGAGAGGGCCAGCTTACAATAATAGGTACATGAATGTTAGCTATACAAGAAATCACTCTCCCTTTCTGTAGCTTCATTCATTAGGTACCTTTTTAGCTCGCTTCCTGAACTGGCTCATGCTAAGACAGGCTTTGACATGTGCAGCCAGTCCATTCCACTCCTTTATGGCTGTACAATAAAAGGCGTTTAAAGCTTTACAACCTACTGTGGGTACTACAAAACTGTTCACTTCCCCTAGTACCACACGGATTTTAGTTCCCAACCTTGACAAACTTGGCAGCAAGATATTCTGGACACTGCTTGTGAGCAATTTTATGAACATTATTTAACTTCAGTTGTTTTACTCTGTCTTCAACATTCAGCATACTGTACTTGTTGTAATTCATCCTGGCCTACATGCTCTCTTGGACCCAGGTCTAGGATGAATCTCACCATTTTGTTTTAGTGATTTGTAGTCTGTTTTTCAGTTCTTTTGTTAACCCTTTCAGGGTTGACAGGCCCTCTCAGAGACTTGTTCTCAGGGTCGGCCAAATTTCAAAAAAAAAAAAAAAAAAAAAAAATTCTTATGAAAAGATAGAGAATCTTTTCCCGATCATAATGACACCAAAAGTATGAAATTTGATGGAAAACTTACGGAATTATGCTCTCACGAAGCTAGCGGTCTCGACGATGTTTACGCATCGGCGATTTTGCCCACTTTGAGCCCTATTTTCAGCTAATTCTAGTGTACTTGTCGACAGAAATCATAACTATTTTGCTAGAACTCTATTTTTTATATCGAATGAGTACAAGAAACCACCCATTTACCGATTTCAACTATCCAGTACAGTGGTCAGAATTTAGCAATTTTGCCAATTTCACACAAATTTCAAAAGATGCCAATTTCCAAATAGGGTCCAGAATAAACAAGAAAGACATTCCTGGCACTAAAATAACATTTCCTCTGTTCATTAGTCACGTCCCCATGCCCCTCTTACATTCTTTTGCTTTCCACTTTGAATTTTTATTCTCACAAAAAATAGAAGATTTACTGTTACGCAAACTACTGCATTGGTGTAGAAATGGTATAAATATTATCAGCGCACTTGTGAAAGAATATTAGACTCACCAGTTGACGTGTATTGGATGCATAGCATGATTTGTTTACTTTTGAACTTTGGTAAAAATCGAACATTTCTGCTACTTTGAGAGCAATTTCAAGGTAGTTTTCTTTGTAAAACCAGTCAAAATCATCTCAATTTCTGTAATATGTCTTCCATTCTATAAAATGAGACCAGGAAAGTTAGAATACAACAATAAATACCATACGAAAATAGAGTGCAAAGTCGCTGTTTTAATCCAAAAACACTGTCAAAGTTTTTTTTTTTCATTACACACTGTGTGCTGCAGGATTTTTTTTATACCATGCACACTGACCACATAGACCCATTCTTTCATATGTAGGCCTACCAGCTTTCTCTCAATAGATTTGAGGGCGCTAGAATTTAGGCGTACTAGTACGTCAAAAACCCTGGTGCGGAAGCCGTACTAGTACGGCTGAAACCCTGAAAGGGTTAAGGCAGAGTACCATGAAGAGCAGAAATATTCATAAATAATAAAAAAGGCACAATTCTGTGACTGGAACAATACACAAATAACCTGCACATAGAAGAGAGGAGCTTATGACGACATTTTGGTCCGACTTGAACCATTTACAAATTCACACTAACAGAAAGGAGAGAAGGAGGGAGTATATAATGGGAATCTAATTCCTTGCTTCCTTTCCGTGATGTTCATGTTCACCGCTCAGATACAAGTTTTGCCTTTTCCGTTTACTGCAAGCCTTTGCACAGTGGCATGTACATTCACTACTTTTCTTATGCTTCCTCTGTCGAGAAAAGTGTTCTTATCTCCCTCTTTCTCCGTGCTCTGCATTTGTGATCCTCAGTTCCTTGGATCAGAAATTTCCACTCTTCATAATTCATTTTCCTTTTTTGGCTACCCTTTCCATTTCATAGACTCTCTACTCCTGTGAACTCTCCTGTCCTCTGCCTTCCATACATTTCCGGTCTTTCTAATCTCAAAAGCTCTTTCCATTCCTTAGACATCAAATTTACTTTTCGCAAGATTAACACTTCGCACTAATCTAGTTCATACCTCTCCTCCCTCTATAGATGCTCCTGGTGTCTACTCTATTTGTTGTCCCTCCTGTCCTCTTCAGTACTTTGCAGAAACTAGCCGATCTCTTTCTGACAGACTTAGTGAGCACGAAAGTAGTGTTAGGCTTGCCGACACTAATGCTTTTTTCTGTCATGTCAGAGATCACAGTCTTCCTATTGACTGGTCTTCTGGTAAAAATGTCTACCCTACGTCTAACTTTCACAGTTGCCGTTTGGTTGAATCTTCCCTTATACACAACTTTCCTTGTATGAATCTTAGTCCTAGCTTTGTGTCTGTAGATGCCTTCCTTTCCCATTACATTGTAAAATGCTCCAAGCTTCAGAACACCCTTGACTTAACCTGATTCTTTTTTCCCCTTCTTCCTCTTCCTCTTTCCTCTTTTTCTTATGGGTTTTCTTTCTTCTGCCTTGGGTATTTGTCCTTCATTATATTTCCACCCCCCCTCTGTGTTCTTGCTCCTACCCTCTGTGGGCCCCTAGCTCCCTTGCAGTGCTCCTCTTTCTTAGTATTTGACTGACTACACTACTACTACTACTTCTACCACCACCTCCACCACTACCTCTCTTGCTCCCGTCATTGTCTGCTGGCCTATATATACTCCCTCCGTCTCTCCTTTCTGTTAGTGTGACTTTGTAAATGGTCCAAGTTGGACCGAAACGTCGTTGTAAGCTCCTCTCTTCTATGTACAGGTTATTTGTGTACAGAAATAATCAGTATGGCATTATATATTCATGTGTTCCTATTCTATGCCATTAATAGAAATTGTGAATAAGAATTTCTATATTGACACCTGTGGAATGCCACTTATATACAGTTGGTTCCCATTCTGATTTTCCCTATTTATGCAAATTGTTGTCTATAGGCCAGTAATGCTGTGATCCAAAAAAAACCTTTTATACTGTGTGCTGTCTTTGTCTTATCAATCTTGTATAGTACAGGTACTTTAGCAATTGCCATAAAAAATTCCAAATTATGAATTTTTAGGCAATAATGATCTCCCCTATGAAATCTTGTGGGCTCGTTAATCCGTTAAATAATGTATATCAAGGTAGCCTTGAATTACATCTGTGATATATCTTTGACTAATTTCGAGGGCTCTTCTGCCATACCAGACCTTCCTATGGTCAGGCTTCCATGTTGAGTGATTATTCATCCATGA